GTGTGTGTGTGTGTGTGTGTGTGTGTGTGTGTGTGTGTGTGTGTGTGTGTGTGTGTGTGTTTACCTGGACATGTTCTCTCTCTGGGGTCGGTGCGCCTTCTCCAAGCCCAATTTGGTGAAAATCCCCACCAGAGCCATGATGGCCACAACTCCACAGATGATGTAGACAATCAGGTTGGTCTTGTCCCTGGTGCTGTCGTGCATCTTGTTCATCTTGTTGTAGGGGGTCTGTCCGGTCTTCATCCACACCGGGGTGTCGTAGTTTTTGCACACACTCTGGTCCAGCCGCGATTGCTTGAAGGAGCAACAGAATCGGAAGCCACAGGTGCCGCAGCAGTACAGGTAGTTGCCCGTTTTGCAGATGAACGGCGGGTCCCACTGGCCCATCACGTCGTAGTAGCCCCGACATTTGTCCTCGGTGTGCGGCGTCTCCTCGGAGACGCTCTCTTCCTCCCGAGAGCCGTTGGAGGTGGCAATCATGACGAAGCCCCCCAGCAGTCCGGGCTCCCCGTCCGCCTTGCACACCAGAGCCATAAGTTTGAGCAGCAAGAAGGCGAGGAGAAAGTATTTCCCTCTCATCGCTGCGCTTTGTCCTCGGGTCAACTTCACGCGCAAACACAAACACTTGGGGAGGAGGTGGAATGGTCCGGAAACATCCACCCGGAGAGCAACGCGCCGTCATCCATACTGATGAGCATCTTCAGCAAAACGTTATCACCATTATCCAAAAATAAATAAACAATAAATTAAAAAAAATCACAAAGAGGAAGGAACAATGCAAAGAATCTCCGTGGATTGAACTTGATTCACCCTATGAGGAACTCCTTCGTGGCGCACATTTACGCGTCCGTTCCAGGGAGGTGCAGACTGCGCGTTTTTCAGAAGAGCATCCCTCTACATATCCATCTGTGCGCTCTTACGCACGGGAGTGCACGCCTCCTTTTTACGCCTGGTGCGCAATGGAGAGGAGGAGGAGGAGGAGGAGGAGAAAACCAGGAGGCGGGAGGGAGAGTGCTGAGGATAACAAGAGAGCGAGGACAAGAGATTGTATGTGTGTGTGTGTGTGTGGGG